CATACAGTATCTAGTATACCACAGGGTAGACCCATATCACTAATAATATTTTTAATCTTTACCAACAGTCTGTTTCTCAAGGCTGAGAGCAAATTATTTTGCAAATTCATTTCGTTCCTAATATATCTATCTCAACATTGTTAACTCCTTACAAAAACACTTAATTTCTAGAAAACTATGCGAAAGATTTAATTCAATAGGTACAATATCCTGATATCAAACTTGAATTTGGCAAATACATCCTCATGCAATTTCACCATCACTGAAAGCCTAATCCTATCCCTACGAGAATTCAAAATACTTTTTTGGTGCCAAGAGGGGTAGTAAGACGGGTTTTAATTTGGTTTGACCGAAAACCTAGGTTCAAAGCTTGTATGGACGGGGAATATTCTCAATTCCTATCTGTGGTGTCTCCTACGAACCTCCAGCTCTCACTGTAGAGTCTGCAGAGCAGAGATTGAGAAACACCTTTTCAACTTTGAGCTGAATTATCTCCCCCTCCGTCAAAGATACGCTTCCGATAACACATAAGACGACAAAGACGACGATAATGATGCTGGGAATGAGGAGAGATAATGCGGTACCAAATGCTACAACGGAAGTCAGAGAAGCCCTCGTTATATCACAACATGCGCTACTCACCGGCGGGCAAACAAAAAACCCACGAAAGCAAAGTAAAAGACCCTTCCGCCCTCAAGAAAAGCAGATTTCGACTCGTCAAAAATATCGTCCCTACTAATCTATACCTCCAAATCTACTAGCCAGGAGGGCATCTGAAATACATTTGTTACTCGACAACCCCACGTTCGTAACGACTTTTAGATGCTAGGCTAGGCTTGTTCACGACAGTCACTCTCGACCAAGACTTTTCTAACATCATTTCACGACCTTCGATTTGTCCTGCGGCATGAATCATGGGAGGATTAAGGAGAAGGCTAGGAGAGTTGAGAGACACCCTCAGGTATACACAGGTATACTGTGCCCGGCTGGCCAGCTTCTTCATCGTAGGAGAGCCTCGCACCCAGTGGATTTTGAAACTTTTCCCTGCAGCTACACACCCTCAAATGGCCATCGTTTTGTTGGCTGCAGAGGGGAGATAATGATGGGATAACGGCTCCTCTTAGTGTGTACTCGAATTAAGACCAATGAGGGTATTACTGCTGGAAAGAAGTGGCGAGGGATGCAAAGGAGGGAGCACACTACCCGAGGCATAGATACTCCCGGTCTGTAGGCAGAAAAGACCTACATGTCCTTACATAGTTATAGACTTTTTAGGATAATAAACACTCACTCACAAAGCTTGTATGGAAAAAGGAATTTAATTAGGGAATGCAGTGTGAAAATGGCTCAAGAAACCTTCAGAACCCACAAAGTGAGTAAAATTCACCACTCTTCGACAAATTTATGTCTTTCGTGCCACTCAGGTTATGGATTATGAATCATTTCTATGATTCAGTAGAATCGTTTCACACTCTCTAGCCAGTAAATATATTCGGTTACTGTTGGTTAAAACTGCCAGGTTCTTGGATTCGAATCCGAAGGGAAAGGCAATCAGTAGTATGTGTTTTTGTATCTATCTTTCAGAAGGTTTGTGGGTGTCGTCTATTGCCAAGAGATATACTGAGTGTACACGGACCTCCACAAACCTTTACTCGCTATTGTCTAGTTTACAATTTTCATGTCATTTATCCCACTACAATCACATACCCAAATCTTATTCCTAATAAATTACCATTATGCTAATAGTTGTGACAGTTACAAAACAGGACATTTGTCGTCATAACTGTGGAACTTTGTTAGACCCCAAGAAAATAATCTGAGTAGGGGATAGCTACTTAGCCCTTTTTAGTACGCCATATCAAGTAGAGGCATCTTCATAGACTTTTGATCCTTAGCCTTCAGATGCAATACCCAGCTCCACATCATTTGGTAAACTCCATTAAAGATGAACTAGGCCCATTCATGATGCCCGATGCAAGGTGTTTAGAGAACAAGTAGAACAAATATCTTAGATCTCAAAGGTTGGAAACTTATTAACCCACATATCCCTCAAACATAAGCAGGGGTACACAGATTACAAGTTTAGCCCTCCGTAGCTTATATCTAACCAACAAAGACATATATCGAGATCAAGTAAAGAAAAAGCTGTAAGAAAATAAAATCATATTCTTGAGTAGTTTTTACGATGTATAGCCAAGGTCCATACTTATAGATCTTTAATTGAGAATAAAGAAAACAAATACTGGGATTGTTATCTACCCATCCAATACAGAGCCTGCAGAATTTCACTCAGCTAATTTGGAGCAAAAAATGTAAATCATATACGCAGAAGATTACTAAATCCTGCAAGCCATCAAAAAGATTAAACGTTTGATCTTCAAATTTCAAATCTATCAAGTCACTGAGGGCCAGGTATCTTCAAAAATAATACTGAAAGAATCCTATTGATTCAGCCACCAAGTATATGAGTAGAGAAATGGTGCTAAAACCACATCCTTTGCTGTCCTGTGCTGTTGTATATTGAGAAAAATGAGCCTTCGAAATCGATGTCTAGATGTCAGGTAACTAGGAGCCTGAACTCTGACAGGCAAAGTATGCGTAAGCAGAGGAAAAGATAACTCAGTAAAAACAACTTAATTTCTATTTCTCCTGGAATTCTAAGACTACAAACACTGATCATGATTGACTTTACCTATTGAACTCTAAATATAGACATGCGCAAGGAATAGATAACCTACGGTCCTAAATATATCTAGAGAGAGGTGTGTTAATTGTACTTCTTGAGTCTTAGACTATCTAGCACAATGGGCTCCTCTCTGGCCCAGGCCACACCTTGTACAGTGCTCCTATCCTCTTTTGTTACTTGAAAGATCATTGATATATTCCCCTTGATGAGTAGCTATTCAGCTCAGAATTTACCCGTAGAATTCAGCCACCTTTTCCACGGAACCTTCTACCCAAAAAAACAAAAATGGTAGCAATGGAAACTGCGTGCGCGGGAAAAAGTCTCAAAAAACCTGCAGCCCCAGCCAGGCGAGGCCTAGACACCGGGATCACATGAGGTGCGCATATTCATCTATATCTCCCTTCTTTGTAACATTCGAGGCCGACTTGATCTAATCCAACATCTCCGTATCGGGTGCTGGGTACGCTCCAGAAACTCAGCGGATGGCTTTTCCTCCATGATCAAGGTTTGGTGATAAGAAGGGCTTCGACTCTACCATCTGATCTGATCGTGACTAGCTTCATGATGGTGGTGATGTTACGGTTTGACCGTGGTTTAGCTTAGGTGGAGACTTAAGCGGAGTTTGGGGGCGTATTAGAGAGAGTGTTTCATGTTATCTTGTATCAAGCGACTAAGTTTCACTTGGCCACATTACATTAGAGCTAGGAAGGAATATGAGACGCCGAAGTAGAATTGCCAAGTGAGAGAGTCAAGCTAGATGGCAAAGATAATAATGGGCAGTAGCGGAGCAATATGTCATGCTCACCAACGGAGTACGTACTGGATGAGCTAGAAGGATGTACAAATAGTCATTACCCATAATTGTGGTACTTCTCTATTCATATAGTTTAATCTTTCTAAAATTACTCTACAACCAGCTTGGTTTCGTCACAGGTGATAGGAGGTTGTGTTGAGAGATGAAGACGATACAAACGGCGAAAGCGAATGGGAATCCCCATGGAAGTGAGGACAAAGATAATTATCAGTCTCGGTTCTGCAGACTCTACGGTGGGAGCTGGAGATTCGTAGGGGAAACCACTGACAGGTTTTGAGAATAGTCCCCCGAACAAAGTTTGGTGAATGGAAACTCCTATAAGACCCAACTTTTATCACCATATCCAGATATCAATTCAATACTGATTCATCTACACCATAGATTCACCGTGCAGTGTCTCGTATCAGGTTCTACAAGTGATCAGAGTACGTATATTTTAATATGCTTGGGTATTACTTCTAATTTTTTGTCATATACTAGTGAAGGAACTCCTGTGTGGAGAGACCGACTGGCGGCCGCATACAAGTATAAGTAGCAAGTGTTCAGTACGCATAGATGATGACTCAAGTCGATCCAACCTCATCACACTGCATCCCACAATCCCAGCCACCTAGGTTTCTCTATTCAGAAAAGGGTCGGCATACCTAGTGATACGTAATAGAACAGAATAGAATTAAATTGAAGTCCCTAATGAGTCCATGACTATAAAGGACTAGTGATACTAACCTAGGCTTACAAATAAAATACATAGTGGCAAGGAAGTTGCTTCTTAATATTCAAGAGGCCAGCCAGCGGTATTTATCTGGACTGTTTTCAACCAAGGCTGCTGACACAAGTGCTGAGTTAGGAAGTCAACTTGCCTCAAAAGATATGATGATTTCGGGGAGAGCGCAAAGCGTCTAGAAGAAGTTAGTAACGGCTTTGATTAAATTCACAAGAAAAATAATAACTCATCCTCTGAGCTAGTTGTAGATTAGTAGTTGGGTAATTTGGTAAATGATGGAGAAAGGGATATGTGAGAAGTGTGTAACTTGGATCCGGCACAGGGAAATCTTCTGCATTTTCTAATATTATTGTTTTCTGTCTCAATTTGTGAAAATTTAACTGGCGATTCGCACGTTTGGAGCGAATTGAGCCTCTGAGCAGCGATCCTCGCTAGCTCTACTGGTCCAGTAGCCTGTAGGGACTTGGAGCTTCGACCTAGGATCCAAATATCAATACCTATTCAGTAAGAGCAGAAAATAATGTCTATCTTGCGGGCTTTAGGCTACTAGTTAGTGGAATTCTTTGGCCTGCTTTAGCCTCTCACAAATTTAAAAAATAGTGGTAATCCTCGTATAATTACTGACGTTCAAGATTATCAATTACTTTAATCATACTTTTGTTCTTGTGAATCAACACCCTCATTTAATATACAGTTCCAATCATAATAACCCCTTTTCCACCTAATTTAATCTTAACATCAGTCGTATACGATACAATCATTATTATTATCATTATTTATCCGAAACTGTCTTCGGCGGGCCAAATTTCTTCCTCCTTAGGCAGTAGTGCTCTCTCATTTTTAGAAGAATCTTCATGGTTTATCTCTGGGCAGGCGTCATCTGGGTTAATCGAAGAAATAAAGCCTGCTTCCACCATAGAATGATAAACTTTATCTTGCATAAAAATACTAGTTTTATCAACCAACAATCCATCGAGATACCTCAGCCTGTGTGCTGAGCTGATGAGAAACATTTCGTAGATTCTCCGCTTCATTCGCGTTCGCATATCAAGGCATGACTTGTACATATTATCTTTGATACTGTCTGCTTTGGCAAGGGTGTACGGTTCCTGATTCTCAGCTTCCTCACCATTGATCACATCATGTGGTGCCATTCGTCCCTCCAAAATTGGCGAGTAAAACCCTACAGTAAGTGGATTGCATCTCAGATCTACGAGTGAGAGTGCAGGAAATCGCAAAAATAGGTCCGCTATACCATCTACGCCAATTAATCGATTCCCAGCAAGGTGCAACTTTTTTAAGCGTAGAATGCCTTTAATAGGCTGAATATCTCTTAACGCATTGAAGTTGAGATTCAAGACCCTCACGTTGGCAAGTAAAGCTCCAAAATCTTCAGGCAGTGTTTCCAGACCACAGTTTGCTAGCTCGAGATATTGTAGGTTCAAAAAATCAACCTGAGGTTTAAACTTGCATAAAAGGTTCCCCGAAAGAAATATTTTACGAACCTCAAACACTTCTGACACGAAGGATGAATCAATATTTGAATCTCGTTGTTCACGAATGGAAATACTATCCAAATATCTCGTTCTCAATAAACCTGTTACTCTCCCCAGTCGGTTTCGATCTAAATATAAAAGTCTCAAGTTTGGGTATTGGCTGACATCGATTGATTCTAAATTATTTCCACTAAGACGAAGGTATTTGAGCGATGAGAGAGGTTTAGAGGTACTTCTGGTAAAATGGGATATGTGATTATCGTTTAAGTCTAAAACAGTTATACTTTCTAATTTCTGAATATTCTGAATCTCTGATATCTGATTACCTCGTACATCTAGATTTGTTAATGACTGAAGTTTTGTGTTTTGGAAATCTAATGAGCGAAGATTATTGTCTCTCAACCTTAGATTAAGGAGTCCATCTAGCTCACTAACACCCTTAAGATCTGAAATTTTATTTTTATCTGCTCGAATGCCTCGCAAATGAACCAGTGATTTTAAAGAAGATAGGGATTTAAGTTCATTATTTGAAACATCGACATATTGAAGGTTAGTCAGGTGTCCCCAAGCAGTCATATCTGAGATACAGTTTTCAGCAATATGGAGCTTCCGAACAGTTCTAGGAATTCCATTTAAATGATTTAAACGATTACAAGAAGCATCAAGTTCTTCGAGCTTTTCACAAAATTCATCAAGTTTATGGACAGTGGTAAGTCGCTTATTTCTAAGGTTCATATGCTTCAGGTCCTCCCAGAATGGCTCATAAGGCTCAACTTCCGTTAACTTTTCTACAAGTTCTTTAATGGAAAGTGAAAGGGTTCTCTTGCCTCCTGAAATTTTGAAGTTCCGAGCTTGTGCGATGTAGCTGACGTCGAGGCCAAATGATTCATTAGCATGGTGAACGGTAAAATCGGATAGAGGTGTTAGTGTTAATGTTCCAATCTCACGTGACGGGCGAGGTGTTATATGAAAAACTTCTGATAATTGATTTGAGGGGGCGGCATTTGCGACAAAAATGCTGATACTTTTTTGTTTAGACTCCTTATCGGCACTGTAAATATCTTCATCTTGCTCATCGATTCTTGATATTTGGTATTTTAAACGTTCATGATTTTTCTCTTGAAACCTCCTGGAAACATTCCTTGCCGAATTTTCGATTGATGTATAGGATCCATAGCAATTTGAGTTCTCATTCAACACGCTTTTGATTGGAGAAGGTTTTGTTCTATTATCAAACTGCTGTGTAGGTGTTCGGTTTTCATGCTTGTTCTTTGTAGTTAGGTCTCTTTCTTTTTTAGTTGTCGTATGAGATTCTATAGGAGATGAAAATGATATTGTAATATTCCGTCGGATTGGAGTTCCAGTTTGTTGATGGCTGTCATGGGTATATCTATCTTTTTCAATTTCTGTGGTTCTTTCTCTTCTTAAATTTGTGTTTGGCATGGGTGAGGTAAAAATAGAAAGGTTTTTCGAAGAATTACTCTGTACTATATGTGTGGAAGCTTCTCTGCTTTCTTGGTTGGGAAGATTTAGAGCCGTATTATGAAAGCGCCCAGATACTCTTGATGTTTTCGACAATAGCCTCGATTTCGTTGAGATCTGTGGTGCCATTTCATGACAATTACTAAGTTTAAGCTCATTTAATGATTTTGTACGATATAGCTTCTCTTCGCTTTTTACCTTGCCTTCTTCAGGAGTGATTTCCGGAGGTTTTGTGATAATATTAATACTTCGAAGTTCTTCATTAACGTCTACAGATAGATCAGATATATCACGAAGGGGATCGTCTTCTATTTCTTCTGAGAATTTGTGATCAAGGTTAGAATTTTCACTGCGGCCATCGTTTTTCCTGAACCAGGTATTCTTTTTCTGATCAAATTTCATTCCAGCTACTTCAGTAGGTATTAAATGACAAACAGATTTAGGGGCAATTACTCGACAAGAATCAGATCCTCTGGAACATCCTGTCTGTTCAGAGAAGACTGTTGATTTTCCTGAGGACGCATTTGACCTTTGCGAAGGAAATCCGTCTTCAATCATTGCTGAAACTTCAGAGGGTTTATACGGAAAACATTTGTGGCTTAAAATTTCATGGTTCTCTAGATTTTTTGGATTAGATAGATCATGTTCAAAAGAGCCTGTTAGATTACCTTGACGCAGTAAGGCAGGAAATATCCTCTGATTATCGGCGTCTAAGGGATAATCTTCTTTAGAAATCGACCTGAGAGAGGCGAAGATGGCGTTTGAGTCGCAATTATCTCGGTATTTATGTAGATGTTCCAAAATGTTGGGATCTTGTTGACAATTAGGTCTTGAAACAAGAGCAGTTCCTTCACGACTTGGTGGTCGCGAAAATGGATCCTGAGTCGAATCTTGGTATGAATAGTTGTACCCGTCTTCAGTAGTGCTAATTCCAGTATCATTATGGAGATACTCCGAGTTGGAGATTGTTGTGGTATTTTGAACACTACGAGTTCTTGCTATCGCACGAAGGTTGACCATAAGTCGATGAGCTTCATCTATAAAGTCTAGTGATGTAATAGATCTTTTTCGTAACTCAGAATGTGTCCGTTCATTTGCACTACCAGAAATATTTGATAGACTCGGGGGAGTGCGTGAGCGATTTTTTGTGAGATCCTCATTGTGTTGGTATTTTTTGTCACCTGCCGTGTCTTTAGACAGTATCGTGTTATTTCCTTGAGGGGCCTCTTGTGTCGAGGTTTGACTATTCCGTTTTCCAGGGCCTGGTAATTTGGGCTTTAATACCTGCCTTATGGCAAGAACCTCGGAATTCGCTACTCTTTGGTCATCTTCGTGCCGAGCATCTTTCCGTTTTTTGCTGTGTAAAAGCTGGATTTGTTGAATTTCTCTTGAGTGCTCATGTAATATCCCTTCTCCCTCCCTAATTTCACAGCTAGATTCTATTTTATGAAAGGTTCTACGTCTTTTCGGCTCCGGGTCCATTAGCGGTGTCTTGGGTAATCTTTTTCCTTCAGTGTCTCCATTATTTTTCCTGGGCGTATTGAGGATTTCTTGTCGCGGTGAGATAGGGACGCTTTCTAGAAATCCCGAGCTACAATTTACCAAAGTTTGGGTTCCTCGGTAACTGTAAGCTTCCGTAGAGCTAACAGATACAAGTTTATCCCCAACCTTAGTGTCCAGACAATCTCGACCATCTAAAGTTTTAGGATAAGTTTTATTTGACTCGTTGTGTGCCTTGGTGCAGTTATTTGTTGAGCCTTTTGATTTACTGGAATTATTTGTGTCATTGGACTTGTGATAAATTTCTCTAGTGAATCGACACGCGTCAAGATCCCCAAAGCCAAAATTGCTTAATTTTCTTGAAATACTCAAATGTGAAGGAGTCCGATCTCCTGTTTCTTCCTGATACGACTCGTTCACATGTAAGTGTAGCCTATCTCTACATGCGCCCCTAGATGTAGTGAATGAAGTTTTTTCATTAGGTTTTCGAATATCAGACCCCGATTCAAGTTGATTCAACCTACTGAGGAGCTTATGAGTCGTAAAAGTGTCATGAGTGCCAAATATTTTCAGAGGACTTTTTGAAATTCCGTTAAGCTGCTCGCCTGTTGATTTATGAAGATCTTTGCGAGGTGTTTTCGGGATATTAGACGTCTTTTTTTCTAAAACTTCTTCTTCCACGCCAGAAAATTTATATACTTTGGGAAGTTGCTTTGGGGTACTAGCTTGCATTGATTCTTCCGTTAAAAGGGTAGTGTCGTTGAGGGTAGCTCTGGAAATATTTTGAACTTGTTTCTGAAAAGGTTCGTTAGAGATGAAACATGTACTGAAATTTTCGGGTTGAGCGTTTTGAAACTCCTCCATCTTTCTATCTATAGTATTATTGGTGTAGTCTGAATTTTTCGTTTGCTTTTCACATTCTAATGGAGCCGATTCTCGATGAGGTATCACTTTTTGCTGTGTTTCTTCCAATGGAGAGCTACAAGCAGAGAAATTATTTTTCCCATTCTCTTCCTGCCAGTTGGATAAATGTATTTGACTTAGACACTCGTTTCTTGAGTCGCTGTGTCCGCTGAATATTCTGCGAGCACCAAGATTTGATTTCTCGGATATAAGTTTATGATCACGCATTTTATTGGGATTGATTCTTGTGGCATGTATAGGCTCCATTCCATATTCGCTAACCTCCTTGTCTGACATCTTCAAATCAGATTTGGTTATTGATAATTCTTGCCTTGAATATTGTTTCCACATCTGAGATACTTTATTTTCATTGGCAAGCATGTCTTTACATCCATTATTATTTGGTCTAATCTCTTGTACGCTATAGGCGGGCGAAGAACTTGAAGTTGATGGTATAATTTTGCCTGTATTGTTTTTGCCTGTAACACCCTTAGAATAATTCTGATGAGAGGAAGCCTGAAATAAGTTCTCAAGGCCAGCCTTTGTGAAGAGATCTCGTTGTTCACCATATGCAATTTTTCCATCAACTATTCTTTGTTTCCACTCTGGTGTTTTATTTCTGGGGTTAACACTAGAAATTTTGTGCTGTACTGTATTGTGCTGTGTTGAGAGAGTGGGGCTCTTCGAACGATCTCGCAGTAATATCGGACACTCGGATTTGCGAATCGAGCCCTGAGGACTACAAGTGATCACTTTATTCTTTACCGGTGAAGTTTTAATTGTTACTTGGTCCTTGAAGGCTTGCGTTTCATATTTTTGTTCTAAAATGCGACAGGATTTAGTTTGGGAGCTGTTGGTGCTTGATTCTTTCGTTGATGGGGACAGAGATGCTGGAGTTCCAGATGAATCTATCTGAGACGGCCAGTCTTCTGAAAGCGAATCTAACCACGCATGAGTCATTGTGACGCTGGGCTGAGATTCAAAGTTATCTATATGCCATTGGCGATGTGAATTATCAATAAATTTCTAATAATTGCTGCCTTTTGCGATGTATCCGCATGTAACCTAGGGGACAGTAAGTGAGTAGCCAGAAATTAATATATATATACTGTATGCTTAATCGGTGTAAGTGTATGTGCGGAAACCTACATGGTTAGTACCATCTCGTATGAAAATGGAGTTCAGGAACAGGCATGCTCGTTGCTGGGCCAACTGGACCACCACGAAGATTATACCAAAATAACATCGTTCAGTGATAGAAGTCAGCAAGTTTACAAACAATTGATCAAAAAAACATTCATTACCTATTTAGAATCTATTTAGTTTCACGATTGGTATTAATTATCGCCGAGTAGGGGGGCTATTCACAACACCTGTCAGTGGTATCCCCTACGAACCTCCAGCTTTCACTGTAGAGTCTGCAGAGCCGAGACGAGAATCATCTTTGTCCTCACTTCGATGGGGATTTCCAATCGCTTTCGCGGTCTGTATCGTCTTCATCTCTCAACACAACCCCCTATCTCCAATATCACGGAAATGACCACGATCAGATCAGATGGTAGAGTCGGAGTCTTCTTATCATCCATCCTTGATGATGGAGGAAAAGCCATCCGCTGAGTTTCCGGAGCATACCCAGCACCTGATACAGAGATGGTGGGCTGGATCAAGTCGGCCTCGACTGTTACAAAGAAGGAAGATATAGATGAATATGTGCACCTCACGTGGTCCCGGTGTCGAGGCCTCGCCCGGCTGGGGCTGCAGGTTTTCTGTGACTTATATTTTTTGAGAAGTTTCCGTGGAAATGCCGGCTGAATTCCACGGGTAAACGCCAAGCTGAATGGCTATTCATCACGGGCAGTATATCAATGATCATTGAAGTAACAAAAGAGGCAAAGAGCACTGCACAAGGTGCGGCCCAGGCCAGAATGGAACGCAATGTGCCGGATAGACTATGACTCAAGTAGTACAGTAAATACGCACACACCTTCGCATAAATTTTTGAAATTCGAAATTTCGAATCTTCCCATTTACCCTCTCCCTCCCTCTCGCGCTCGTCGCATTGTATCAATAAATTGTGATCAAGTCGCTGGCATTTTCATCTTGCCACCTGTTCGGAAAAATCTCCCCAACGCAATGTTGGACAACTCGAGAGTCCGCCCGAGGGCTCTCGCAAAACTACCTGGCCTTTCCCAGTATTAGAAATGCGCGGAGATGGGTCACGCTGTTTCAAAAGGAAAGGAAAAAGCCTTTCCTACCGTCAACAAGCACGATACTGACATGATCGGGTCAATTGAAATTTTTGAGGAAATTCCTCAACCAACCTCCGTCCCCCACGGGACTGGAGAATCGATAAAATCTCCTCCGATCGCGCCAAAACTGTTGGAGAACGCTGCGCCCAAAGCAGCGTCAAAATCAACTTCGCAGCCAAAAGCTACCACTAAAGCAGAATGCCCTCTGGAACTTCGACCAATCCTGAGGCCGATAAACGACGCGCCGCCGAAGCAGCGGCAAATCTGGCACTCTGTTCCGCCGCCATCTCTGGCGTCGGAGCTTCTCTCCTCCCTTTGGCCAACGGGTCAAACAGACGATTCGTAGACCCGATGAGAGTCTACCTACGCGCCACCATTGCGCATTACATGGCCACGGGCCCGGCCATCACGCCACCCGTCCTTCTTCCTCGCCCAGCTAACGCTCCTCCGAGAGCTCCTGACGCCAGAATCCCAATCATACCCGCCGTCCCAGCGCTGCCTATCAAAAGCACCCGGGCCACGGTAGCTAAGAGCGGACTGCCACAAAAAGCAGCCCCTTCAATAAAGGCTTCACGAGCTACAATCCAGGTGCAAACTGGTTGCAATCTATATATTACTGACTCTATACACCGAGTCAGGACCTATTTCGCAATCGCGACAGCCGATGAAGAATTGGGACACAAGATCCTGGATGCCTCTCCGACCCTGGAGAGTAAAAACGTCAGAGTCGAAGGGGCTTCGGATCTAGTCTCCTTACGGATACCAAGTGTACCCGTAAATATGATACTAAAACGCGGCCCGGTAACGGTCACAGACTAGAAGGTTAAAAGCGAGATCCTCCGACACACTGGGATTCCGTCAGCCGATGTGCGACCACATGGAACGCACCATCATGGTGCACCATACCGCGACCGAGTCGCTCTTTTCCCTCGGGACTCCGCCCCTCGTGCGGGCTTCCGCATCTTTGAAGAGTCTGGTTTGGCTACTGAGCTACAACCTTGGCAAAGAATCAAGCAGTGCTACCGCTGCCTCGGCTTCTACGCCACTCGTGATTGCTCCCGCGCTCCGGCCTGTCGGAATTGCGGTTCAACAATGCACGCTGAAAAAGAGTGCAAGGCCTCCACCAGATGCCGAAATTGTGGGGGACGTCATCGATCGGACTCACGGGACTGCCAAGCCAGACCCAATAAATCCGGCACGGTGAAGAAAGAGCAGCTTGCGATAATTCGACAAGTCGAACAAGGGAGGTTTACAGAAGCAGCCCGAGCAAGAGCTGCAGCCAAAAAGGCAGAGGAGGCGATTATTGTTAGACATTAGGAAGTATCTAAGGTTTATTTGGTGTTTGGATCACATTTGGATATATGGGGTCCAAGAATAGATTACCTTAAATTAGCTAGTTAAACGCACGGTCCACCTAGAGAAGTGATAACTTCTGGGGACCGATGTTCGAAAGAAAGAATCAAGTTGTTTCTACTGAGTTGTTGATACCCGTAAATATTCTTCACCTGATACAGGACAGGTTCCCCAGTTTCCCGATAATTATCGCCTCAAACGAGGACGTCTCCATAGCGGAAGTATCGGGCTTCGGAGTTCTAGAGTTCGAAGAAGTATTCTGAGGAGACGGCGACCTCGATTACGCCCTACAGGCGATTATTAACTGTCACAGGATTGGGACTTCGATGTTATCTCAGAGAGAAGGGAATGAAAGATGATTGATTGCTCTCTCCTTCATGATCTTACTTCTCTTTAAGGACAAGTTCGCTCGTTTTATTTTAGTAAGTTTGCATCGTCCAGACCATGTAATCTCCTCATCCAGCCTTACAAACAGTGTTTGTTATCCAATCTTAAATACAAGATAAAACATAATGAGCGCTAATATCGCAAACAGTAAAATGCAGGCATAACCAATTATAGTGTAAAATTCCAGATCATAACCTAAATACAAACAAACAACGAATGACTCCGGAGGGCAAGACTGAACACCTGTACACGGTGTACTCTACGAACCTGGGAGTGAAATATTCTCCCATAGCCAAGTCCAGTCAAATTTCGCAATATCGGAGAAGTTGGCCCACGAGACAAAAATTCAAATTACTCCACCATGTCAATCTTTCACTCCCAAAGAGTCCGATTCTCAACTAAGCTTCATCAAGTCTACAAGTAAGACATAGTACATCCTCACCCCAATGACCACACCTCTCGTCGACTTTCTCTGGCCTTAGTTGACCGCCAAATACACACCCACGCCGATATTTATACCCGACGGAGGAAGCAAAGTGTGGCGCACAAATCTGGGAGATAGTTCTTTGGGATGGACGTGAGAGGAATCAGGACAAGTTTACAAGGTGATGCAGAAGAGGGATATATTCTCGACGGGCGTGAAATTTCGAATTTTGGCAACAATTTTACGAATTGAGCTTTTTGCGCGCTAAGACTTCGCTTGCGAGAGTGCAGCTGACACTATAAACACAAGCAAACGATGGAAGGTGTTGTGATCCGCCACCTGGTGGTGTTCTCTGGTATAGTTTGAGTAGCCTGGGCACCTACTCCACTTGGGAAGGAGACATCTCAGATTACATATCGCGCGGAGAAAAGTTGATGGATGACGGAGGAATTTCTGGGTAACTCAGGGTTTTTGAGACGTTCCCCTGAGTGGGTATTCACGGATGAGGGTTGACTTGAGGTGAAGAAAAAGCCACCATAACTTCGCAGAGGTACTTGCAAATGAAATCCGAGGCATGAGTGCTTCTCTTGTAAATTGAGTCATCTATTCTGTACTTTTATTTGATATTGTGTCATAGCTAGATAGCTACATACGCAATTAAAATCTGATGCAAAAAAAAAAAAAAAACGAATGACTGCATGGGGATAATAATAGATACAATGTGTAACGCACGGTTGATTGCGTGTGCCTCCTTAACAGCCTCATTCAGCCTCATATGCGGGTCTCGATTAGTTCGACATTAACCAATATCAGGAAAACGGCTGTATCAATGGTACTCGCTAACCTATCTCTTGCTCTCAGCAGAGAACGGAAAAGATGTCATCTAGAAGGTGTGACGTGCGAAGGAATGTGTAAGGAGCGCATTGTCTGGGCTCAATTTGGAGGAATCTTCTGACTTTAGGGGTGTTTTCATGCTGTTTTTTTTAACATTCCTGCTTTCGGTTTTGTCATAATCTGCTGCAATTTTGGTAGCGATTCACGTAGTTGGAATGATTGGGCTGTGGAAAAGAACACAGAGATCTCTGCCGGCTCCATCGACCCTATATCCCATAGATGGACGTAGAGCTTTAGCTTAGGACCTTAATAAAACAACAACACTAACATACCAATAGAACTAGAAATTAGAGAAGCTCTAAATTTTCTTAGAGAGATTTAGTTAGATCGAAAACAACTAGATAGAGCGATTACCGTCAGAACTGGATACTTTGAGCTCGCTCAATATCATGCTCGCTCCCGGCACACAGGTGCTAGAATGAAATGTTGTCGTGGATCAATCAAGATTCTAATCTACCTCTTATTCTGGCGAATCCTAAATAACCGCCAAGGTCGCCCCACTAGGCCTATCGGTTCACTCATTCCAAAACTACTGGGAGCAATGGAGGGCGCCATTATCTGAGTAAAAAGTCTCCACGATTGTTCGAGGATATTTGTGTACGATAAACAAAAATGAGATGGAATTAGAATATTAATTAAATTTCTATTTTAAT